GAGTCAACCCTGAACCGGTGAGATTTGAACAGCCGAACTGCAGAACTACAGTCAGCTGAAGTAGCCTGCAGTGCTGCATTTAACCACTGCGCCACTTCGGCTCTTCTTGCAGGATGGGGATGGAAGGGAAAAGGGCACCCAATGGTAACATTCTCTTAGAACAGGGATTATACTCTAGCTATCCCACACTTCTGAGACCCTGGAGTTCTGAAGATACATTCAGCTAAGCTACACAAGGCTTTAAAGATGACAACCAGTACCTTAAATCACACCTGGAAGTCCAATGGCAAGCAGCTCAATTCTCACCTATTTCGTCCTAGTGTTACATGGGCAAAAGAGAGGGTGGATAGCTTACTCAACTGCTGCATTCTGGAGCAGCTGTAGCATCCATGTAGATACATCCTAGTAAAGAGCCTGGGATATGATCCAGACATAAATGATCATGTACAAGGCAGTCATAATTGGTACATGAGATGAACTTGTATAACGGTCCTCTTGGCCACAGCTGTCAGATCCTGTTTAAACAGGAGCCATGAGTACAAACAAAACTCAGATTATCAGTTCCAGATGAAGGGGTGTAATGCCATCCAGCAGCCTATGTACCCAAAACTGCTTGAACTTGCTGTGATTAAGCCTTATTCCTCCCAATCCAAAACCTAGCAGGCTCCAGGCATGGTACTTGGACAGCACATGGCCTATTCAACCTGGGGCAATGTCCAAATGTATATCATTAGTATTGTTGATGAAATCTGACCCATGTCAATGGATGAAGCCACCCCACTTTCATGTGGATATTAAATAGGAGAGTACAGAGAATTAAGTTGAAAGTTCACCCCACAACAGAGGCCTTAGAACTTAGAACTCCCATATCTCCACTAGCACCTGTCCCACATGGGGAGGGGAAAGCCACTATAAAATAGTGCTTCTTATTACCAATACCCAGAAACAATTGAGGATCAATTTCACAAATAACTTCAGCTTGGCTTCTGTTCTTATTACTTTGTTAACTGCCAAGGAGGTGAAGGAGGAAGCAGGAGAGGAGGAGAAAGAGGAAGGGTTTTAAAAAAAGTTTTTCATTGTTTGTTTTATGAATCCAGTTTACTGCTTTCAGCTTAAAGAACTGGGCATTCTGTCTAATTACCATGTAATTTGCTAAATATAACCCTGTATAGGGGATATTTTTTAGAAAAGGGAACACATGTCTCTAGATTTCAACTTGCCTTTACATAAAACCCAGTTGTCTGAAATTAATCAAGAATCCTGTATGCAAAAACATTTCTTCTGCCTGCACATCTCATTAATTGAATATGAAGTTATACAGTTATAAACATTTGGTGAGTCTCCCCATTGCAGGGAGATACATAAGTTTTGCACTTTTCAAAGTAGGTTTCTCATCCTAGCCCAAGAAAAATAAACTTTATAAAGCACCCAGGTTAAATGCCCATCCCTAATTAAAGACAAAGTGCTTGTGGCTTTCTCTATCCATTGTCCCTGACCATCTTAATAAGATTATTAAGGGTCTGAAAGAATATGTCACACAACTGAATACTGAAAATTTCTGGTTCTTGCTGTGTACTAGAATTTAGGTTTGATTTAGCAGCATTTTTCAACAGGTGGCTTGAACCGGTTTAAGAATGCTCATTTATAAAATAACAATAATAAAATCTAAACTTACCTTACTTTTTGTTGGCAAAATCCAGGATAACAAGCACCGGTTTTATACTCTGAAAGAAAAACTAACTCTGTGCTATAATATTTCTAATAAATGTTGGTTGAGGGTTAGAACACCAGTGCCTGTATCTGATAATTGTGCAGCCGTTTGTTTTATCTATACACACTCCTTGTAAACTAAACTAAAAAATAAAAGTATACAATAAATTAGTACATCAAGGTGGCAGGATATTTGTCTTTCAAAATACCTAATGACAACAAGATTCAAGATTCTTTGCATTACATATTTGGAAAGTTTCACTTTCCTTGTTTGGAATGTTTGTGAGATGGGAAAAGTTGGAGTGACTTACCATATCCTATAGGTGTTTCGGACCCAGAGCCACTTTCTGAAGAAGTAAAAGGAAGGAAGATAAAAAAGTAGGTGTACGCAATCAGGTTTGGCGTTGCCATCTTCTCAAGTTCACATTCTTTCTACCTTGCAGGAAGAGGAGAGAAACTAAATCTGAGAAAGATCAGCTTGCATTGTGACTTTATAACTCCTTCTAGAGTGCACTCATCAATAAAGTAACCACAGGCAACGGGAAGTAAAAACATACAGGAAAGCAGGCAGGGGTGAAACAGGAAATCTCCCCCCAAAACTGCTTGTGGAGGAGTGAACTAAGATCAAAGGATACTACTATGGTCTGTATAGTCTTAAGTACTATGAAAAGTGCTTGTTCACCTAATTCAACTTTTCTTGATTGAAGTTTCCCATCTTGAACCTCTCATTGAGATGGAACTAAGGTTTACAACTATCACTTAGGCAAATCTATTAACTTTTTTCCCCCATCCTCTCTCTTTCTCTCCCTCCCTCTCTCTCCTCCCCCTCCCTCTTATTTAATTTTGAGGTTTTTCTATCTCATCCATGAAGAAAGTGGCAAAGTTTGGTTACAGACTCCCTCCTATGGTTGTTAAATATCAGCAATGTTTAGGGGGGGAAAGACCCATTTCATCCAAAGTCTATATCAAGTCTCCAACTAACAAACTCAAGCAAATCAGAACTTGAGACTTGGCTCCTTCTCAAAGGTCTTCTTTAATGAGTACATCATATCAGCACAGCTTCAATGGAAAACCAAATCTAAATCTTTCCCGCGGTTTCAGTTTAATTAAACTAGGAAATAACCCCATCCCCAAGTATCACAAGTCACGTTGGCCAATTGGGTTAGTTGGCGGGCTCTTCAGGCACTCCTTCCCCAACCTTATCTATTGCCAATAGAGATGACCTTGGTTCTCAAGAGAAAGCTCTTTGTTGTGTCTAGCAATGCATTCCAACCTCCTCCCCATGCTTTCCCCTCTCTGTGGCAACTGAGGAACAGAAAAATGGCTGCAGCCAGGTTCAGTTCAAAGTCGACAGTCTAGTTAAGTAAGCAAACATTTGGACCCAGTAGATTCATACAAATCCCTCACTTTTGAAAGTTTTGGTCTTTTCCCCCCTAATGGTTTGTTTGTTTTTAAATCTCAGGTTCTTTCCATCAATCTTGAACATGCATTTGCAAATGTTTGCTATGTTTTTTTAGAGTTAAGGAAGGAGCAGCTTATACCATATCAACTCACATATGGGACAGGCAGCCCAGAAGTAGAATGTATGTAGGGCTCAGGGGTGGGTTTCAACCGGTTCGCGGCGGTCCCTGCGAACTGGTTGGTCGGTGAACCCGGAAGTAAGTAACTTCCGGGAACAGCGAAGGGCCCACCTGCCCACCCGCGCTCCTTACCCGGTTTTGACGAGTTGATATGGTATAAGCTGCTCCTTCCTTAACTCTAAAAAAACATAGCAAACATTT